GCGCCCCGTCCCGTCAGGAGCACGTTCCAGAGCCCCGCACGCTGCCTCTGCTCAGCGCTGCCTGCCCTCTGCTAAGCCCCCGCCGCCTCGGCCTCCCGCCTGCCACCGCCCCTCGGGCAACTGAGGGCAGCCCGCCCGCCCCAGGGGCGCCGCCCCGCACAGGGACTCTCTCCTGCACGCCATGGGTTGGGCAGTTCTACGTGCTTTGCTTCCGCAGTTCCTCAGCCGGTACCTGCACCCGGTGAGCGGTGGCTTGCAGGGCCAGGAGCAGGAGGGCACTCTGCGAGCCTGGGGAGCCCGGCTCTGGGCTGCCCTGCAGCAGTGGCACATCTGGGCTCCTGCTGCAGGCCTGGGGCTGCTCTTGGCCCTCTGGTTTAGCCGCAGAAGAGCAGCCGCCAGGAGAGCCCTTGAAGAGGAAAGGAGGAGGAGGAAGTGGAGGTGGAGGAACTGGAGGAGGCTGTCTATCCCAATCAAGAGCATCCTCAGGAAGATGTTCAGAGGGATGAAGAAAATCTGGGGCTACATGAAGGAAATCAAGAAAAAGGTGGCAAGGGCAGTGAAAACTCTAATCAGAATCCTAGCCCTATCCCTTAACCTTAACTTTTATCCTAACTCTAGGCCTAATCCACCCCATTCATAAGATTTGCAAGAAGAACAGAATGATGCTGAGAGGAAGGCAATTCAGACCAGAAACTGACTCAAATCTCCCCAAAAAATGCCCCTAAACTGCTCTTCCTTCTCCTGTGGCCGAGGAGTCCGGCAGACAGCTTCTTTCTTTGCTGTTTTTAGGGTTCGTTGTCCTGCAGCGACCTCACAATCAAGGTAGGAGACCTGCTGCAGAGCTCTTAGTACTCAACCAATCTGAGACAGTTTAGCATGTTAACAGTTCACCCAGTACATATTATTTTGGATTTTCTATCTCCTGCGAGGATTTTCTCATTCAAAAGCGAACAGTGATTAACTTTCAGGGCTCCAGGGCAGGCAGAAGAAAGCATCCGCCAGATCTAGGACAGCAAACTATTTTACCTCTGATGTCAATTTAGCCAGCAGTGTACATGGATCTGCCACTATGGGGTGCAAGCCCCCAGCCATCTCATTTTATTGGTCTAAGATCTTGCACTATTTTATACTTCCCATCAGGTTCCTTTAGGGGTTCCCTGGTGGTCTAGTGGTTAGGATGCAGCGCTCTCACCACCACAGCCCAGGTTTGATTCCCGGTCAGGGAACCCCACCGGGCACATGGAGCTCGTCAGCCCTGTAAGGCCATCCATCTAAGAGAAGGTCACTCTAAACAAACCTATGTCCTGAGGACCTCGTTGCCACCGTCTGAGCTCACTCAGCCCCGGCAGATGAATCTTAGGATTAAAGGGTGGGCTCAGTTCAGTGCACACTGTGTCTCACCTAAAAAATCCACTGCGCAGGCTCGAAGGGTAAAGACCTTTCCCAAATCTTCGTTCGCGAAGACTGGCCACAACAACAACAATTAAGAAAGACTTTTGCTTCTGTCCAAGCTGTAAAGCATGCTGCTCACTCTGAAAATCATATTAGAGAAATAATGCACTTCAGTCCTGATTTATAACTCCTAGCTATGCCAGGACTCACTCTTGCCTATATATTGGGTTTTATACTCAAAACTTTACTGTTGGACTCAGTCTGGCTCTTGTCTCTTCTCACACTGTGCTCTTGAAACACCTCTGCCCCAGCTTCCAGCATAAAGTTATTGTGAGACTCTTTCTGGGTACCTCAGCAGCAACCTGAAGCAAACTTCGCCTGGCTGCTCCAGTCACCATAGAAATGAGCATAAATGAGGATGTACTAAAGTCATTCTGAAGAGAGACTAGAGCCAGAATTTGAGCTCGGGTTTGGAGATGAAAGGCTGGTGAACTAACACATTGTGCTTGCCCATTACACCGCCTGCTAGGAGACAATAACTTTCCCAAAACTTGCCCGATGCAGCCAAAAAAACAATGACACAGAAGCAGACGTGTTTGTTTCTTATCAGCAGGGATCCTATTGCTGCAAGCTCCACAGTGTTTTGGACTCTAGCTCTACTCATCAAACCATTGCTCTTGCTCCACTCGCCAAGCAGCTTACAGAAGGCAATTAAGTGTTGCATAGGCATTTGACTGTAAACAATTATGGAACTCAATGTCCTGTAGCTCAGAGGGGGGAAAAAAGCCTCCTGCACTGGCTGAGCTGATAATCAATGACTTTGACAGTGGAGAACTCTGGCTCTGAAAGACAAACAAAGCTGTTTGAACAATCACCCCATCACCATATTCCACCACAAACTGTCTTCAATCGGGAGATTATTTCTTTTACAGGGCCTGGCAGTCAGTGAGATCCAAAATGCCAGGAAAGAACTGGCACAGACTTTTGACTGTTCAGCTTGACCACTGCAGTCTCTGCGCATTCAAAAAGGCATGTCGTGCTGTGTGCTCTTCTGAAGCTGACGGTGAGAGCCGAGCCACGGCGGGAGGCAAGAGAATGAGAGATGCGGCATTATTTGGACAGCCCACGAGGCTGAAATGTGCTGCACAGTGCACCAAAGATGGGATCCAGGCAGTTAAGCTTTGAGCAACATGGAAGCCTCATGTCAAGGAACGGGAGCCTCAAAAAGCAGACTGGCAATCTGCGGAGTTTGGTAACGGCACAAAGTTCATGCTGAGAGCTTTGTCGGGGAAAGTGATGATGCATCATTTGACACAAGATGTTCAGTCAAAGCGTAAAAAAAAATCTCTTCATTAAACATCATGATGTCTTTGGAGCTCACAGCAGAGGTCTTTTTGCTCCGACATGAAGTGATCTCCTGGGTCAGACCAAATGCATTATTTGGTCTCTTTCAAAAACCTAATATATAACATGATACAACCTAACTGTAAACATTATAGTTACCAGATATGAATTTCTGTAAGTGTTGCTTACCACATTTCAAAATGTTATTCTTATCACTTGGCCACAGACACTCATCTTTCACTTAAACTGAATGATCAAGTGTAATCTCTGGGGAGAAAAGAAAGCTCTGTCATTACCTTAGGGGTGAAAAATCCTGTGTTGCTTTTACTTAGAAATCATAAATAACACCTTAGTACTGGGCAGATGGTGTTAGTCCTTCCTTCAGGTGAGAAAGGGAATCCAGTGATGGTATCTCAGACATCCATGTAGGTCCAGATTTACCTTTAACATCTAAAATTCTGTGGCCAATACAGTAACCTCACCACAGGATGATCCAATCCATCCTAAAGCAGATATGCACCTAAAATGGAATGAGTCACATTTTTGTCATTTATTCTCATAATCTATAAAAGAATAAATAAGTAAATAAATAAACAAATAAATGAAGAGACTAGGTGACTAAAGCTGAAGGAGTTGAATAGCCTCCATAGTGAATAATATAAAGTCCTGAGAAGTCATTGAACAAATAAACACTAACAACTGGGCTCTGTGAACTGGCAGGAAGTCAAGTCAATGCCAGTTCCTGAAGAGAAGCTTGGGATGAGATATTGGCTCCTGATGAGATCTGTGCTCCCCAGAATTCAGCAACACTGCCATTTACTTCAGCAAGGACAACTTTTCATGGCACCTCTCATCTTCCAGACCTAACCTATTAAAAGCTAAAGAGATATTCACATCAAATCACCAAAGGCAGGAAAGGTGTTCTTGGGGTCAGAATGTGGGGTCATTTGGGAGTAAGGGGCAGGAATCAGCAGGAGGAGATCAGGGTAGGAGCAGGACCTGATGTGAGGCACACGGTGAAGGAGGTGACCCAAGCTGTGAGGAGACACTGACCTTCAGTATATAGTGATGGCTGTTCCCAACCTCTCTCACCTCCTGCTCCTCCCACAGATGCCTAGATCTAACACATCTGTGCCTCCTCTGAAATATACCCCTTCAACGTCTCCTTCCTCTCCAGAGACATGAAGTGTCCTTCCCACAGCTCCAGCCCTGACTGTCATACAGCAACAGAAGGAACAAAGAAAGTTCTTATGGGGAAACCCCTCAGGAACACTTTTCCAGGTCCCTGAAGAATTCTCAGTGTTTGTATTACTTTCTTTCCCCTTTCTAGTGTGCTTGTTGTGTCACCAGGCATGACCCAAATATTTACAGCCAGAAAAGACCCAAAGACTGTCTGTATCCATAATATTTGCCTGGTGAGCTTCCCTGCCTCTGTCACTATCTTCATGTTGGAACTGAGCCCAGTCTAGCAGTGTTAGGGGTACACTGGATCCTGTGGGAAATCACATCCCAAGAGCTCCATGGCTGTCAACCCCTTCTCCAAACAGCACCTGAAAGCCCACTCCTGAGCTATGCTCTAGCTCTCTTTGTCTACCATGGCTTGGTATTTGCTCTGGTCTGAAAGCCTGGTCAGCTCTGCAGGAGCTGCACATGGAAAACACACAAACAAACAGTATAAACTGTTCCTGCAGTTGCAGAAATGGTCTCATAGGACAGTCTTCTGTAGATAAGATAGTCAGAAGAAATGTGCACAGTACTAGGAGTGATGTCTCTTGAATAGGCTGCAGTTGCCACACAGTGACATCGTGTGTGTCAGTCTTCTCTTCCCAAGTAACAAGTAATAGGACAAGGGGACTGGTTGAGGTTGCACCAGGGAGGTATTAGATTGAGTTAGGAAAGATTTCCTCACCAAAAATGTTGTCAAGCACTGGAACAGATTGCCCAGAGAAGTGGTAGAGCCACCAACCCTGGTGGTATTTAAATGATGTGTAGATGTGGCACTTGAGACATGGTTTAGTGGGGGACATGGCAGTGATGGGTTAATGGTTGGACTTGATGATCTTAAAGCCTCCTCCAGCCTAAATGTTTCTATGATTCCATAGCAGAACACATCAGCTATTATGGGGACATCTTAACAGTCTTAAATATTAGTAACAAATGCTAACAAACAGTGCATATTACGTTGCCTTAACAGCTTATTTAAAAGATAGATTACAAACTCTTTTTTCCCCATCGATTTATACTTTCTGAAGGCATGCACTGAGTGCTAAACATTGTTTTAAAAGCCCTAGCTGTTTCAGAGCCCATTTTGCCTCTTAGAGCAATGGTCTAGGTACAATTGCAAAATGTTTATTGCTTTTGGGATGAACTTAACACCATTTTATATTTGGAAAACTATTATATACCCACCAAGTTTGACTACCACTGTTCATCTATCCCTGGGTGAGGACTTTCTGAGCATCAGTAACAGGTTAAGGGAAAGAGTGGGATTTCTCTATGACAAGAGAAAAACTTTCACGAAGAGGTAAGGCCATATTTTCCAGGAGTTGATAGGAAAATATCATCTTCATATTCTTGGTTCTGGATGACTGTGGCTTGTTCATGGGCTGCAGAAGAAAAAATAAAAAAGTGATGCACTGAAACTCCAATGAAGCAATAATAAAAGCAGGAAGAAACATGCTGTCTTCATTATTCCTTTATTAAGATTCACCTAGTACACCTGATAGCATTAAGTAGCTGCCAATAAGATGAGAATTACCATCCACATCTCTGGAAACCTTTCCTTCAAGTGCTCTCTATTCAAAATGGAGGAAAAATCATTTTTGGAAAGCTGTAAATCTGTTAAAGCAGTTGCACAAGGAAGGCCCAGTACTGAGAGGTAATTCATGGTTCAGATGACTGTGAATTCTTAGGCACAAGCTCCTAAATGATTTATCCCTGCAATCAAGTTGTGAAATGGTAAGGTATCATCATTAAGAAATTGAAGCTTGAGAGATAACCATGTAAGTCTGCATAGATATATAACATTGAATCTCTGGTTGCATCCAAAATATTGAAACCACATTAACTATTCTCCCCAGTAGAAAGGGCTTATCCTTCCCCAACCAATTTACAATCCAACCAATCTTACCCTGAGTGTGATGCTTACTTATGGAATGGAACATTCCTGGAAATTACTCAGTAGGTCTCTCTTTATTTTTTTTAATTATTTTTCTTAACTTTTTCTAGATAGACAAATTGGAAAAGCAAAGAAGAGGAAATGAAATGAGGAGTAGGAAAATGTGTTATTGTTGAAGAAAGGGTCTTTGCTTTCAAAGATTTTTGTAAATATGAAGGTCACAAGCACACTTCAGACAGGAGAGAACTAAGTGAAATAAGGGAATAGGACAAACATGGTCAAAATTGAAGCAGAGTTTTCAAGATCATCATGATGGTTCCTGATCATAAAAGATGAACATACAGTTTAGATGTTCAGGAGGAATGATTTTAGGACCTCATTAAGGTTATCTTTAATTCCTGATGTAAAATTAAGCAAAGGATTTCATCAAGTTCATATAGCAAGTTCTTGCTCAGATCCTGATCTAGCACAAAATGGTATAGAACAGTATTACAATGACCTCAGTCAGCTGCATTTCTGTCCCAAGTTTAGAAAATCAAAGTTGCACTTACTAGATGGAAAATTCTATTTTGAGAACTGTGATCTTGTAAAATACTTGAAAGAGAAAATGAGGATCAGTCATAGCTCTTTAGCAGAATATGGGATCCAATGAGATGTTATGTTGCAGAGGAACTATATGATCCTTAAACACAAAAATGAAAATGTATCAGATGGGAGAAAGGAATCGTTTTATTAGTTTGTACTTGGTATTGATATGACCATTTTGGGAAAACTGTCCAGTCTTTGTATCCACAGATGAGAAAACATATTGGAAAAGATTGGAAAGAGTTCAGAAAAGTTTCATAGGAATTATTACAGGTTTGAAAACACTTTGCAATGAAGTACTGCATGCTCTATTTAATTTTTCAAAAGGAAGATAAAAGTGTAACTAGACATGGTCTATAAATATCCATCGAAAGAATAAAAATGTGATAATAGAAGTTTCTCTAGTCTTAGAAGGAAAACTTGAAAAGATCCAGTGGTTAGGGATTGAAACTTGGCAAACTGATTCTGCAAAGAAATATCCATTTTTAGCAAAAGTGGTAGAAAACAGTAGAATGACTGGTCAAGAACCGTAGTAGGTTTTTCATCATCTGGCACTTACAAATAGGGAAATAAAGTTTCTGTTTGCTTGTGGACTGTATCATATGCTCACAGAAATAAAACTGTAATTTCTTCATGAAAGTAATGTCTTTATCTGAAGTGCAGATAAAAATTAAACTACAATTAACTTATTTTAATATCAGAAATTTTGTGTTTTATCTAAGATAGCCATGTAAAAAGAGTTTTCTGCATATTCAGTGAAAAAAGACTAACGCTTTCAGGTGGCTATTCACTCCATTTTCTTCAGACAGGGATCTTTGGTCAAAAGAATCACCCTCCAAAGGTACTTAGATTGTACAAGGAGTTTGTAGGTAAGAGCTTTCGGAACAAACATAGTTATCAACAGTTAGTCTTATCCGTAGTCTATCTTCTAGTCAAAACCAGACCTGGCATTTCTAAGGCATAACTCAACTTGCCCTAATGAGAACTTCTAAGCAGGGTCAAGGAATTTTTCCATAAAAATGCCTATTTATTGTACTGAATTGAAAGTGCTATTATTCCAGTTGCAGATCTTGTAGTCTCTTACAGTTTTAGTTGTATGAGGTGAATCCCATCCTAAATTAATACAATGATTTCTCATGGCCTTTAGGCTAACAGGAAATTCTATGAATAATTAAGCATTCAGATATAACAATGATAGTCAATTTTACAATATTCGTGAAGATTCCTAGCTGGAATGCAAAGAAAAAGTGTTGGTCTCTCTGCCTCATTTAAATTTTGCTGAGTAACTGACATTTTCCTACGGCAGTTCTATTTTGTCATTGAGGGGAACTTTATTTTAAAGGACCAGGTCATGACTTTGGGTTATATTGCTTCATAGTAGGCAATCTCAGTTCTACCCAAAATGCTTTATGTGTCTGAGGTCAGACTTGTAGACACCTCATTAGCACCTTCTTAATTTAAAGATGCCAAAACCCCATAGGTAAGATGAGACTTGGCATGGATAAAAGGAAACTTAATAAAGATTTAGCAATCATGTTATTGTCTCACACCTTTCATTCTATTACCCTAAGAACAGCCCTTGGTACCGTAAATTATATACCTATTTTGACTAAAAGGTACTGCATGATGAGTTGTGAGACTTATAAAAATCTAGTCAATATTAGAGGAAGTGTCTGAATGATAGACAGAGAGACAAAGTATAATCTTCATGATTCCCTGATGAAACATACACTGAGGCTTAACCTAATCCCTGAAGGAATGACAGCAAAAATAAGGTGAAAGACCAATTAGCCTTCTCCCACACTAATCCTCGGTTAGAGCAGCTTATTCTTTTTTTATACTTGTAGAGACATTCAAAGTACCGTGGAAAATCAAAATTGTACTGGCCATACCTTTTCTTTAGAATAATTTTGCTACAATAGCAGATGAGTCCTTGCTACCTGCTCTGGCAGGTTTGTCACATGCCAGAGTTAAAAGATTTCTGATCCTATTGGAAGATTTGGTAGTGATAAGTCAAGAAGATAAGCCAGGCATGAAAATTAACCCTGGATAGAATGATTTTAAGTTGATTCTATTCAAATTAAATGAAAGGATGAAAGTAGGTCTGTAACTAAGGTTTTCAGCAATAAAGGACAAAAGGAAATTAGGCAGAAAAGTCAGCTGGGTGGAACAGATCCAGAACATGAATATAAAAAAGGTCTGTATATTTTCTTTTTTCAACATAGGAAAACTACTGAGAATTTCTGCCACAAGTAAAAACTAAACTTGAATAAAATGTTGCTAGACTATACTGAATAAAAAAAATTGTAACAGAAAAATCAGTAAGGAAAGAACAACTAATATGAAATAGAAACCAAAAACACTTATAGCAAAATTATTTTGGACATTGAAAGGCCAGTACTCTTGAAGTGGTTCAAGACTCATTAGGAAGAGGGCAATATACACAAAATGAAAGAGACAAATATTAAGGCAAAAAATTATCATCCTTCAATAATGAATATATATTTTAGTTGTCAGGGGAAATTAAAATATTCAAGCAGCACTGAAGAAGAGAACTAGAATAAATATAAAACCAAAACTGTTTAAATGTATTTCAACCATATATTTTACCAATTCAACCTAATTCTGTGGAGGAAATAATGTATTCTAATTTAAAATATAACAAAATGGCAGAGAGAAAAATCAACCTAGCAAACACAAAAACCCCTCGCTTCTATAAATTCCAGTTCACATCAGAACAAATAACTTGAGGAAAACAAGATAATCAACTATATGTGTCTGAATCTTCAATATCTTATGATATATTTAAGTTTAATTTATGATTATCATGAAGTCTGACATAACAAATTTTAACATGAGTGGTTTGTTTATTTTTCAGTGAAAATTCATAAAAGAACTTGCAACATTTGCATCATTTTTTGAGGTATGACATCTTTTTTGCCACATCTATTTGCCACATACCTCCTTGTAATAGAACGTTATTTAAAAAAAATCTGTTTCAAAAAGAAAAGTTCATTAACAACGGATCCTAGGTAGCTTCAATTTTTATACTGTATGATGAGAAGCATAATCTACATAGAATTCTTTTTAACCTTTTTATGTGTTGAATACTGACTAAATAATAAAGTTAAAACTGCCTCGGTCAAACAATATTTCAGTTAATAAATGCATCTAAATGAATTATGTTATTGTAATAATCTGTTATTCCTCACAGGAAAAAAACAAACAAGATATACCACAGCATGTTCTTTCTTTGTGAGAAGAACCAGGACATCATGGCATTCATGTGATTGCAAGAACATCTTCAAGCTGGGGACAGACTAGAAGAGAATGAGAGTATGTGGTACCCAAACAACAGTGCCTGTAGTAATGACAATAACCCTGCAGGCTTGGATTGTTTATGGTTTGGAGTAAAAATACCTCAATGAACAGATGACATTTTTAACATATAATTCATTCTTCAAACTAGAAATCAATTCTGGAAGTGGGAAAGAAATAGTAACGCAGCCCAGCTAGGCAAGACGGGGAAGTCCACTCAGGGTTCAACACAGGTTGTAGGTTGTGAAGGAGTGAAAAACTTTATTAAAATGGCTCCCCCTTTTATAGGGGAGCTCAGAGAACTTTCTAGGGTATTACAAATAGGAGGAGGAGTTGGTAGAAAGAGGGGTAACCATTGGGTACAAAACACAAGGGGAGGGATTACAGTAGCATATGGATGAGAGGGGAGGGGTGGAACTCTTGTAGGAACAAACCATTGTAAAAGCAGGGATAAGAAGGTACCATTAAAACATCAACAGTGGCATTAACTGGTCGTTTTACTCCATTAAGTCTGTCTTAATTTAATAAGTCCATTTTTTCAAATACAATCCTCTTCTTCTGCAGCTTCCTTCAGGGCCACAGTCCATTTCTGGTAGGCTTCCTCTTCTCTTTCTTCTGTGTCCTCACCCATAAAATAGAAAAATCATCCCACCCTTAAGCAGATGCTTGAAACTGATAAAACAAGTTATCTCTCAAAATGTGCATTTCAGTCATCAACTGAACACACAGCCTAGAGGACTGATGTGCAGAAGATGTTAAACCTCCAGAATGGCAAAGACAGTTGAGCTGAATGTCACTCCCATCTTCTGATTTTGAGCAGTAAACCTCTAAGTGAACTTTCAAAATTTAAAATTAAATAACCATGGAAACTATTAAAGACACAAGGAAACTCAACAAGCTGTCTTGAAAAGCATGTTGTTGCATATCGTTGCTGCTTGAAAGATATTACTCTGCCCTCAAAAAAGTTCTACATTTGTTTGTGATACCAAAGTAGCGTGAATAGAGTGTCTTTCTGGTGCCTTAAACTTACTATTTCATCACATCTAAAGATCTCCAACATTTCTATTACAAAAAAATCTATGATGAAAAATTCTTCCAGATTTGCTTCTCTAGGTTTTAATGGCAATACTTAAACACATACGTAAATTTGAAGTACACAGAAGTTGCCCAGACTTAAGATACAGTTTACTGTTTTCCCTGACTGGTACCTTAAACGGCAGCCTCAAAAGGTAAAACTCCATGAGACAAATTTAGTAGGTGTTAAGACTCCACCTCTGAAGACATCCTTACAGCTATTTTTCAGTACAACAGCAAAAATCAGGCATCTTTAAAATTTATATCACACTTTCTCTTTGCCTCTGTTTTCCAACAGTAATTGCCACTAGATCAGTCACAAAATTGAGATGGCAGTGAGAACATCAACATAGATAGAATGTCCATTCATTGAGTCAGGGTATTTATGGATAGCACAAAATCATGTGGATGAATCTGTGGTAGCTGTGTACAGGATTTCTGGCACTGGTAGAAGCAGACTGGTGTGGAACTGCAGAGAAGAACTGCTGGGAGGAACTCCTGGTGGCCCCTTGCTACACCTTGAAGCTCAAAGCTAAACCAACTTAGACTGAGTTTTTCAATATCTTGTTGAGAATCTGTCTCAAATAACCTTATCACTCTCTACAGCTCCCAGAAGGTAGGTTGTAGCCAGATGGGTACCTGTCCCTTCTCCCAGGCAACGGGCAATAGGACAAGGACAGTCTCAAGCTGCAACAGGGGAGGTTCAGGTTAGACATTAGGAAGAAGTTCTTCACAGAAAGGGTGATTGGGCATTGGAATGGGCTGCCCAGGGAGGTGGAGTCGCCATCCCTTGAAGCATTCAAGGAAAGAGTGGATGTGGCACTCGGTGCCATGGTCTAGCTGACAAGGTGGTGTTGATTCATAGGTTGGACTTCATGATCTTAGAGGTCTCTTCCAACCTGGTTGACTCTATGATTTTGTGAAATCTAGCAAAGATTTTAATATCCACAAGTACATGAATTCCAAAAGTCTTGTTGAGCCTCCATTGAGAAACTACTAGGGAAAAAATAAAAATTAGAAGAAAATTAATAGAAAAAAAATGCATAGCAAAGATGAAGGCCATTAGAACTCTTACTGGCTCTAAGGTGTCCAAATGGTTGCAGTAAATCTTGATCCCACTATGATCTTTGATATTTGAAATATGCAAGACTTATTTCAAACACTGATTCACCCCTAAAGTACATCTATCAGTTTTTGACTCACTGTATGTGTAGTCAAAGTGGGTCACTGTTCTAACACCGTAACACCTATAATGATATACTGAGTCTGGCAGGAATGGAACTTAATTTTCTTCATAGGAGTCCTTATGACGATGTGTTGTGAATTTTTGGCTGGAACAGTGTTGATAACCCACGAATGATTTGTGTATTGATGAACAGTGTGTATTGATGAACAGTGTTTATTGATGAACAGTGCTTGCACATCAAGGCTGTTTGCCTTCTGCCCCTCCTCAGGAAGTAGTTTAGGGGTGGGCAAGAATTTGGAGGGCTAAACAGACACAACAGTTGACCTGAATTGACCAAAAGTACATTCCATGCTACGTCATGCTCCACAATTCAAAGTTGAAATGTGGGAGTCAGTGTCTTCCAAGGTCACTGTTGCTCAGAGGTAGTGAGAGATGGTAATGAATTGTCTTTGCATCACTGCTGATGGGTCTTATGCCTCTCTCTTTTCTTCATTCGTTAAGGTATCTTTATCTGAATAAATGAGTTTTCTCACTCTTCCTTTTCCTGTTTTCTTTCCTGTCCCACCAAGGGGGTAGGACTGAGTGAGCAGCTGTGTGGATGCCTAATTTTCATCTGAGCTGAATCCTCCACAAATGACCAGAAAACAGGACAGAACAGCAGCATGGAAGAATTGCCTTTTTTTTTTTTTTCCCTTCTATATAAATAATTCTCTACCATCACATCCCTACTTGTCCAGATAAGTTTTACCACTCCCTCCATATAATATTGCTTTTACTTGATTCACACTCAGACACCTTAATTATGTTAAGGATCTCAAACACAGCCAAACACTTTTTTATTCATATGTGTGCTATTTGAGTTTATAAATTTAATTCTTTGTGTTCAAGTTTTACACAGCAATTTCTTTAAGGAGAAAAAAGTGAAGAGCTGGTGTTATATATGAAACAGACAGGTAGGGTTTCACTCAAGGGAACACCTCCTCTAAGGATTATAATTTATAAAACAAAATATCCTGAGTATGACACTAGTCAATTTAGTCTGATATAAAACAGGGCCTGTGTTTTCTTTCCTTTATATTTTTATGATACGTAATGTCTTTATAATTTCCACCACTCACATCAAAGCTGCCAACTGCTGAGTGTCTAAATAAGTAGCATGCAAAGAAAATGAATGAATTGCTAAATGTCCCATTACGTCCATGGAGAATATCCTTACATTTGGAGTCAGGAATCTTAAAATTGAACGACAAATGAATGGTTTTCACTCCAGTGGAGTCAGGGTTTTGTCAGTGGCAATTCTATTATGCTCTGTGTTTGAAAGGAAAGAGAAAAACAGAGACAGAGAGAGGAATGAATAAAACCAAACCCACAGAAACCTATTGCAATACCTCAACTCCAGCACTGAATGCCAATTACTTCAAGAGAAAGAGAGAAAAATAAATCTGGTAGAACATGATGCATCCAGAAGTACGCTGTCTCAAAGGGATGGGAATTTTTGGGTTATGTATACTCCACCTAGGAGTTGGGATATAGGAAGATGAGAATTTTTAACATTTCTGTTGTTTGATGAGGAATGTTTATCTGTTAATGCCTATACATGGCTGAATTCTTAGGCACTATAGCTATGACTGTTAGATGAAATAATGCTCAGAAAGTCTCTCACGTGTGTCTGGCCATATTAGCGAGATATTAGGACTCTCTCTGGTCCAGTTTTGGTTCATAATAGATGACATATTGCCAAAACCAGGGACCATTTTAGGAGATAGAAGTGCCCGCTCCCAGTAACTACTCCAGGTGCATTCACCCTTCTTAGAAGCTTAGTGAATTCCTCAGCATAGACACAAATATATTTTGCTACTTGACCCTAATGACCAGAAATGTTCCTAGTCCCATTTAATTTCTCAGTATAGATATATTCTTAATGATTGTCATAAATTAGATGCTAAGAATAAAGTAAAATGGCCTAGACATAATTATCTACTGTCATTTGAGATGCCCTTGGGTGTCCCTTTTGGTTGCCAGTCCAAAAGAACAGAAGGGTTTTGCCTACCTATAGACTGTGTCACATCTGCAAACCACAGAGCATCTCAAATGACGTTACACACTGACATGTCTAGGCAACTAGATTGAGTAGTAAGGGTGAGTTTCAGCTCCAGATTCAGAAGGATACATATGGCAATGATGGTAAGTTAATTCTTGTTGCAGTCAATGGTAATTCAGTCAATGCACTGAAAAATCCTAAGGGAAAAAAAACAACAATGTGGCTGTCTACTTTAGAGAAAGGTGTACATGTTGACCATAATCCCCTTCGACTCTAATGGGATCTCAGATAGTCAGCTCACATATGACACCTACAATGGAGATACCTACCTCTAACTGATGGAATCCTACGTGGTTAACACAACATCACCAGGAATGCTGTCATTACTAATCAAGGGCCAAACAGGCAGTGGAAGAAATAGTTTTCATAGGAAGAAAACAAGACCAGATTTCCAGATCTTTTGTTCTAGTTAAAAAGACTTTCCTCTCTGTGAGACAAAGTCAGCATTAACCTGTCAAATTGTGATTGAAATTATTTAGTCCTGTCACACTCTATCACTGTTGGGATGAATGTTACCAAAAAAAGGCAAGAGGAAAGAACAGTTTTTTCTCCTTGGACATAAACGAGTATCTTACCACAATACCTGGAGAAAATCCCTCAATGTATTATGTTACAGTAAGTAACTATCCAATGGATGAAAAAAAATTAAGTCTTAAATTATAATTCATGAAGTAAAACCAGGATGTCATGTTGTGTTAGGATACCCTGGGATATTATGTCTTATACAGTGTATATTAATGTGAATTGACAAAAGAAAACACTCATTGATTTATGTCACTAATTTTAGGACATGATGCTTTTTGGTTTTGCTGCTGCTCTTGTTTTTACTATTATTGTTACTGTTATTGTTATATTATCCTTGATCTATTACTGCCTTTT